GAGGGGGGAGGGTCAGAGGGAGAAGCAGACTCCCTGCTGAGCAGGGAGCCCGATGTGGGACTTGATTCCGGGACTCCAGGATCATGACCTGAGCCTAAGGCAGTTGCTTAACCAACTGAGCCACCCAGGCGCCCGTTGTTTTTCTTTTTTTAAATTTTATTTATTTATTTATCAGAGAGAGAGAGAGCACAAGCAGGGGGAGTGGCAGGCAAAAGGAGAAGCAGGCTCCCCGCTGAGCAAGGAGCCCTATGTGGCACTCTATCCCAGGACTCTGGGATCATGACCCAAGCCGAAGGCAGACACTTAACCGACTGAGCCACCCAGGCATCCCTCTTTGCTGTTTTTCAATTCTGTATTTCATTTATTTCCACTCTAATCTTTATTATTTCCTTCCCTCTGTTCACTTTCAGTTTAGTTTGTTCTTCTGTTTCTAAGTTCCTTAAAGTTGAAGTTTAGGGCTGGTCTTGAGTGACAGTATGACGTTGGAGACTGTAACCATCTTGCTACCAAAAGGGAGCACCAGTCTGAGAATACAGTCAAACCAGGAAGAGGACAAGAGAGACACTGGATCTTGAGGACAGTTCTCGAGCCCCTGAAACAATCCATGTTTACCGCAAGTCCTGCTTCTGGGCATTCAGTTACATGATTCAATAATCTTCTTTGGGCCCATTAAAAAAGTTGAAAGTTTAATTATTGATTTGAGATCCTTTTCCTGTATAAAATAGGTGTTTACAGCTATAAATTTCCCTCTGGTAACCACTTTTATTGCATTCTGTAAGTTTTAGTATGCTGAGTTTCTATTTTCATTCATTTCATCTAATTTCCCCTGTGATTTCTTTTTAATCCACTGGGCATTTAAAAGTGTGTTGTTCAGTTTTCGTGTATATGCAGAATTTTCAGTTTTCCTTCTTTTATTAATTTCTAGTTTCAGGTCGTTGTGGTCAGAGAAGATACTTCGTATGCATTCTGTATTTTTAAATGTATTGAGACTTGTTTTGTGGTATAAACATCGTCTATCCTGAGGAATATTCCATGCTCACTTGAGAAGAATGTGTATTCTGCTGTTGTTGAGTGGAGTTAGGTCTAGTTGGTTTATAGTGTTGTTCAATGCTTCTATTTCTTTGTTTATCTTTTGTGTAGTAGTACTTTTTTTTTTTTTTAAGATTTTCTTTATTTGAGAGAGCAAGACAGAGCAGAGAGAGAGCACAAACAGTAGGGAGGGGCAGAGGGAGAGGGAGAAGCAGGCCTCCCGCTGAGCAGGGAGCCTGATGCGGGGCTCGATCCCAGGACCCTGGGACCATGACCTAAGCTGAGGCAGATGCTTAACCATCTGAGCCACCCAGGCGCCCCTGGAGTTCCATAATTCTATGCATTCGTTCATTTACTCATTCAAGTCTTCAAACACTAATTTATATATTCATGATTTTCAACGCAAGAGAGATAGATGTTGGAGGCTGTGCTCAATTAAAGGGTGGCCCAGGCAGGCCGAGTCCTGGCACTAACCTCAGAAGTCCCCTGACAAATCTCCGCAGTGGTGAGGGGCTGCACTAAGGGTCCGAGAGACATCCTGTAAGCCACTAGGGAATTGCGAGGAGAAAAATGGTGTGATCTGGTTTGAGCTGTAGAAACCGAAGATGACTGCAGGGATGAGGGTGCGGATAAGGAGGGAGTATCTGTGTGTGTGTTTCACACACATGTGAAACATGGATGAGAGGGAGGGAGGGGGCAACCTACCATCACCACCACTTACCAAAAAATAAAGGAAAAAAGGAAGAGACAGAGAGTGGCTGAGAAACAGAGGAAAGATAAAGAGATGGAGAGAAAACTGTGTTGTTTAGAACTCCTATTAGGAAGAGCCCTGGATGTAGTGGGAGGAATACTTAGAAAAGACACTTGGGGTGGGGATGGGGGCCCCCCACCCCAGCCTGCATCACAGATGGATATCTTGAGTAAGGAGAGGTGGTGCTAATCTGCCTTGAAAGGGTGGGGGCTGGGGTAGTTAGCATTAGGACTTTTGTTTTAAGCAGAGGGGACAAATTTGGGACCAGAGCCTAATCGCTGGGGACAGTGAGGAGTTGCCTCACCAACAGGGCCTGACACTGCTATTCTTATTCCATGCATTTCCCTCGTTCTGGACAAACATTTGGGGAACATTCCCTTGAGGGGGCACAGCAAATGGTTTGACAACTGCACTTTCCCTGTATCCGTCTGGCCTGCTAAGTGCTTCACCTCGGGTGAAGCACGGGGATCAGACACTGGCCTCAGGTGGGTCCCACTCCTCTCTGGGTCTCAGTTTCTTCATATGTAAAGACATGGGGAAGGAGCAGACCAGAGGGTCGTAGTGCGGGCCCAGCACCCGACGTTCCACATTTGAGACTCTCCTTTCCTGGCCGGCCATGACCCTTCTAGCCACGACCACAGCCGGTCTTGCCGCAGAGAATCTCACCTTCAGCCAGCCAGCGTAGAAGAAGAACTGCAGGAATGTGAAGACAGGTACAACGAGGTCCAGCTCGTGGCCAGGGTAGGCTTTGGCTGGGTTCAGGAACTGCCGCCCAATCAGGCAAGCCAGGAAGAAGCTGTACACAGCCACGGTCACCACCTGGGAGGGAAAGGAGGGTGGCGGCAGAAATGCGCTGGCTGGGGACCTAGGGTCAGGAAGCTCCCCAGGCTGGGAGGACGAGGCCTTGCTCTGATTCGCACAGCCCTATGACCTTGGGTCTCTGCGATCTCTTTAAAATGGGGATATTCGGGGCACCTGGGTGGCTCAGATGGTTAAGCGTCTGCTCAGGTCATAATCTCAGGGTCCTGGGATCGAGTCCCACATCGGGCTCCTTGCTTAGCAAGGAGCCTGCTTCTCCCTCTGCCTGCCACTCCCCCTGCTTGTCCTCTCCCTCTCTCTCTGGCAAATAAAATTTTTTAAAAATAAATAAATAAATAAATAAAATGGGGATATTCACATTCCCTCCACTGAACCAGGCAGAAGCCTGGACTCTTTAAACTTGTCACTAGAGAGAATCTGCAAAGTCCAGACCTAACTCCCAGGGTGAGCCTCTAAGCCCCTAAGTGAGCCCTTCCCACCGCAGGCTGTTTCCTGAGTCCTCCCAGTCCCCCCGTTTTCCCAAGGGGCAGCTTCCCTGGCCTGGTCCTCACCTGCGTGTACACCAGCGGGATACTGATCCAGTCGTAGGCAAACAGGTGTCCACACTGAGTACGCAAGATGTTCATCTCCTGGGGAGCAGAAGGGAGGGTTGGCTTTCTGACCACCATCTGCTCTCCCAGGCTCAACCTCAGCACTTCCCCAGGTACCAGGGTCTGGCGCTCATGGTCCAGCCCTGGCTATGTGGTCAGGGGCAGCTCACTTAACCTCTCTGCGCCTCAGCCTCCTCATCTGTCAAAAAGGAGGAGCCAGGATCTCAGAGGCTCCCTTTAGAGAGGAAATGGGAGGGGAATTTGGGGGAGGGGCCACCGTGGGTGGTGGAATCCTGTTGGTCAAAATCCTACAATCCCAAGGCAGGTTCTAGGAAAAGCCTCAAGCCTTGTCCTTGTAGGAAACTGTTCCACGTGGGCCACAACCGTCCCCACTCTGCATCAGCCCCATCTGTGTAGTGAGCTCACGTCTAGCAGGCTCTGGAGCAGGACAGGATCCCGGATTCGACCTCCAATCCACGCCTTCATTGACAGGTTGGCAAACCACACCCAGGGCACCCAGAACGTGTTGTGAGGCAAGCTCAACTTTTCCAAGTGCTTGCGTTCCGCCGGGGTCATAAAGCCTGCGGGGTGGAGTGAAGAAGGCAGTGGGTGGGGGAGCCCGCAGAACGGATGGCTGGCAGGGGTGGCCAGGCCTTGCCGAAGCCCAGGATTTAGGCCCAAGTTCACTGGGACCGCGGAGCTCCTTTGCCATCCTCTTTCAACAGATAATTACTGAGTGCCCACTACGTGCTGTTCTGGCCTGAGCACGTGAGAAGGGTCTGTCTTACTAATCAGGACCAGGGCAGGAAAGGTCAGAGACGGAGGGCACAGAAATGCAGACTGAAAACTGTAGACCTGGACGGGAAAGGGCAGAGGGAGGCCGACCGGTACTTTCTCACCAGTTCCCAAGGCCCCGCCCCCGGCCCTCCGTCCCCACTCTTCCCTCATCCCTCAAGGGTCCTTAACCCTATCTCAAACCCCTATGCTCCCGCGCGGTTCCGGGCCTCGCTCCCACCCATCTTCAGGCCCCCGACTCCGCCCCGCCCAATGCGACGAGGTCTCGACCCCACCCCGCTCCTGGCCCCACCCAATCTTCAGCCTGGAGGCCTCTGGCTCCACCCATCTGCTCCGGCCCCGCCCGGGCCCGCTCCTGGCCCCGCCCCGGGCCCCGCCGGCCCCGCCCACCTGCTTTCACCAGGTGCTGGGAGCTGGGAAAGCGCTTGTAGACCGCGGCGCTGACGCTGCGCAGGATGAGCACGTTGCCCAGGTTGGCGTAGCGGATGAGCGTGCGCCGCAGCAGCCGGCCTTGCTCGTCCTTGCCCTCCACCAAGCCCGACACCAGGTTCATAAGGCGGTCGGGCCACGGCAGGTTCTCGTACTGGTTCCACCAGCGGGTCACGACCAGCGTCACGTAGAAGCCTGGGCAGGAGAGGCGGGGGAGGGGGGGGCGAGGGCCCAGGCTGCGGCCAGAGCCAAGCGAGGGCGGTGCCTCGGTTTCTCCATCTTTCTGATGGGGAGCAGACCCAGCCCCGACCCTCCCGGAAGGCGCTGAGTAGGGGAAGACCATCAGAGCCCCGCATGAAGGCGCAAGAGCCTGAGTTCTCTCTCCTGGGGGCCCCCTGCCTATCCCAGGAATCTGCCAGACAGACCCCTCCCCTCCTGCTCAGAGGCTCCAGGGACGTCAGCGCTGCCCTCAGAAGCTGGGGTCTTGAGTGCTAACCTCAGGACGTCCTTCCTAATGTCTAAGTTCAGTCCGTCTGGCTGCAGCCTCCCCATTTCCCTGAACTGTGGAGAGGCACTGACACGCCACTGCTTCCCCAGCTAGTTCCTCGTAGTCCACCTGTGTGGAGCCTGGAGCAGCCACTGGGATCCCGACACGCCGAAAGGGGAGCTCACCCAGCACGAAGGAAATGGGGATGAGCTGGATGTAGCTGTCGCAATACAGAGTCAGTTTCTCAAACATCACCTGCTGTTCGTCCGTGAGGGCCATCCTGGGGGGTGGGGGGTGGGGGGGATGTGTAGACACTGGGAGGACATGGCTGAGATCGGTACTGACTCCAGCCAGGCCTAGGGTAGGAGTGTGGCTGCCTCTTTGCTACCCCACCACTTCCCTGTCCCTTTCACTGGCCCTGCCTGGGGCCTCTCCTCTGGCCTGAGCCAGGTCCCACTCCTTCTCTGGCAACCCCAAACCCCAAGGGGGCATCTGCTCCATGGCTGTAAGAGGCCCCTCAGGAGGTTTTCTGTGAGGTAGAGGAGGAAGGTCCTGCCCAAGGAGTTACTTTTAGGTACCATTGGCTCTTTTAAAGAATCCAAAGGACAGTTTGAAAGCAGGTTCAAGGAGTGTTTGATCTTTAAAAAAAAAATGCGGTGGGGAGAGATGAATAGGTGCGCACAGAGGGTTTTCAGGGCAGTGAAACTACTCCGTATGATACTAGAATGGTTGATAATGCCATTTGTCCAAACCCATAGAATGTACAACATCAAGAGTGGACCCTAGTGTAAACTGTGGGCTTTGGGTGATAATGGTATGTCCATGTGGGTTCATCTATCATGACAAATGTGCCACTTGGCTGTGGCATATTGGGAGTGGGGGCGGCTGTGTGTGTTCGAGGGGGTATACGGACACTCTCTACCTTCTGCTCAATTTTACTATCAACTTAAAGCTCTAAAAAATAGAGTAATTTTTTTTTTAAAGTGTATTGGTGCCTGAGTAACAACCAAAGAAAACCAATGTGCTTTACTATTGGTTTTGTAATTACGAATTCAAGAATTTCCTGTATTTAATAGTTTTTCAATCCATTTCAGTCATTAATGCTTTTTCCATTCAAAATGCTTTCATATATTCTGTGATTATATCTCTCCTATATTTTATTTAAGTAAACATTTTTATTGGGGGGAAAATACGGTCTGCACCTGGGAGCTTGTGCGGGATTCAGGAAAACAGGCTGGCGGAGTGGGACCAGGTGAGGCTTGGGTTCCAGAGGCCTCTCCCTGGGTTGGAGGAAAGACACTCCCAGCCTGCAGGCTGCCTCCTTTTACCTCCTCCCCAGCCCCCAACCTCCAGCCGCCCCCGCCCCCAGGGCTTGGCCGGGAGCTCAGGTCAGCCTTAGCCGGCTCTGGTACATTGGCCGCCTGCGTGGCTGGCTAGTTGTGCCAAGCCCCAGCTGTACCCCTCCCAGGCCCCGGCCCCAGCCTTTCCCCCTGCACCTGTAAATGAATCGGATAGTGTAGTAGCTGAGCAGGAAGATGAGGAACTCGCCGTAGAGCAGCTTATAGATGCTGCCTCGCCAGCACAGTAGCAGGCGAGAGAAGGAGCCTAAGCGGGCATTCGCCACCTGGCTTGAGTAGGTGACGGTCATGGCCGGGCACCGGACTGCAGCGAGTGGGCTTGGGTCCTAGTAGACAGGGAGAGACACTCACGGGGGGCTTGTTCGGGGCTTGTGTGGGCCCCAGGAGTGATCTTAGCCGGGACCCTTCCCTGCTCTGGGCCTCAGCTTTCCTGTCTGGACACTGGGAGGGGGATGAGGTGGCCTCAAGGGCCCTTTCGGCTCTTCCTGCCTGTGGGACATGGGAAGCCAGGGAAGCGAGCCCAGGGCTGCCCACAGCCGTGACAGGGAAGACAGGTCTGCGCCCCGAAGCTGTATGACAAAGGCAATGACAAGAGCAACAGCGAAGTGCACACGCTGGGCGTGGTCCCCTGAGCCAGGCAGCGTTCTGAGCCCATCTTCTTCATTAGCTCCCCAAACACCCGCGACCACCTTGGAGCAAGATTGGTAAGGGGCCTGGTCAGTCTTGTCCACTGCCGTGTCTCCAATGCCCAGAACAGAGCCTGGCTGGTAGAGATGCTCAAATAATGTTTACTGAACAGGGACCCCAGGGCCTTTCCACTTGCTAATCCTTCTGCCTGGAGGATGCTCTTTCTCATCTAACGCATGGCTCATTCCCACGTCGGGCTATCTGCCCAGAAAGGGTGTTCCCAACTACTGTCCCTGCAGATAGCATCCCAGTGCCACTGGTACTCTCTGTCCCCTCATCTTGTCGATTTCTGTCCACAGCGTGTATCTTGTGCTGCCTGAAATTCTATTTTGCAGGACGTCTGCTGGCTTACTGACCATTCCCTCCCGCGAATGGAAGCTTCTGCTGTGCTCGCGTAGGAGGTGCTCCGTCAGAACTTCTGGGAGCGATGACTGACACCCGCCCTCTCCCTGCTTGCTCGGATGGGGCTGCAGTAGCTGCTTTGTGGCCCGTGCACACCAAGCTCATTCCCACCTCAGAGACTTTGCACAGGGGGCCCCCCCCACCCCACGCACACATGCTGCCCGTGGGTGTACATCCCACGCCCCAATGCGGGGACCGCCGTCCACCCCGTAGGCCCTCAAAGCCTCGGCAGGCCGACCCCTACTCACAAGAGGGGCTCCGGTCTTCTCAGGCAATCCCACAACAGTTCTGGCCACTGCACCAGTGGGACTCTTGGGGGTCCTGTGGCCAGTGCCCGCACTTAGCGCATGCGTGTGTTAAGCGGTCACTTGACTCCCTCAGCCAGGGCCTCCACAAAGGAGCCTTGTTTGGGCCCCTCTCATAATCTGCACCTAAGCAGCGGCCGGCACCGCCTGGCCAGGGCCCCTCTAATTCCTGCCGGTGCTGGGGGTGGAGGGGGTGGCTGAGCTGAGGGCTAGAATTTGGGGCAGCTCCCCTCCACCATGGGCCCAATCCTGCCATTCTCTCTGGGCCCTCAAATACGGAGATCGAAGGATCTGTGTGTTTTTTCTTTTCTTTTTTTTTTTTAAAGGCCACATATTGTATGATGCCTTTTTTTTTTTTTAGATTTTATTTATTTATTTGACAGAGAGACACAGCCAGAGAGGGAACACAAGCAGGGGCAGTGGGAGAGGGAGAAGCAGGCCTCCCGCAGAGCAGGGAGCCCGATGCGGGGCTCGATCCCAGGACCCTGGGATCATGACCTGAGGCGAAGGCAGATGCTTAACGACTGAGCCACCCAGGCGCCCCTCGAAGGATCTGTTTCTGACCACTGAGGTCTTGCGGGGAGAGCTGTGGGGAGTGGGGCCAGGCCCTGGTCTGGAGCTACACAGTGGGAGCTGCGGGCCGGCCTGATGGGGCTTTGGCAGCTCTGGGGGCACTGGAAAGAACACTGGACCACAGTCAGAAGCCCTGGCTTCTAGTCCTGGCTCTGCCACCTGTGTGCGGTGACCCTAGTGGGCCTCTGCTCCTTCCTAGGCCTCAGTGTCCCTATCCAAAAAGGATGGTACTGCTTTAGACCTCATCACCTTTCTCAGGGCGACAGCGGGCCGCCCCTGCTGGTGAGGAGCCCTGATTGGCTGGTGGTGACATCATGGGTCATTCAGGCTGTGATTGGCTGGCAGAATCCAGTTAGTAGGTTGGTTCACAGCTATGGAAGAAGGCGGTGGGGTGCGGGGGTAGGAGGCTGCTTTGTGGGGGCTGGGCCTGGTGCGGGATGACACAGCAGCCCTGGTGTTTATGCTGCTGGCTTCCAGCCAGCCCATGCAAAATGGGAGTATGTACCCAGGTCCCCAAGGGCAGCCGGTTAATAGCTCAGCACCTGGTTCCAAACATTTTAATCCATCAGTCTATACACGAGGGCCCTCCTAAGCCACTGGAAGTGATGGGTGTCCAGCACGGACTCCTCTTGTGAAAACTTGAAGCAGCAGTGGTTCTTGGTCTTCAGTGAGTGGCCATGAGAATGGTCTGGAATGTATAGGAAACGTGCAGCTTGTCGGGCTCTTTCTCCAGAGTCTGATTCTGCCAAGGGGGGAGGGGGGTGCTGCATCTCTAATGAGCTCGGGGCCGGGGGGAGAGGGGGGAGGAGGATTATAATGCCAGTGGTCTTCAGATCGGACTTTCTGAAGCCCTGATTTACAGTATGACCTCGAGCCTTAAAATAAATCCACTCCTTCCCTCCCTCCCCCCTCCCTCCTCTCTCCCACTCCTCCTCCATCACCTCTCTTTCTCCCTCTCCCTGACATACTCCTAAGTGTTAACAATGCTGAGATTGCAGGTGACTTTTTTTTTTTTTTAAAGATTTTTCACCTATTTGACAGAAGGAGGGAGAGCACAAGCAGGGGGAGCAGCAGACCAGAGGGAGAGAGAGAAGCAGCCGCCCCCTCCGAGCAGGGAGCCCGATGCGGGGCTCGATCCCAGGGATCATGACCGGAGCCAAAGGCAGATGCCCAACAGACTGAGCCACCCAGGCGCCCCTGCAGGTGACTTTTGTGCACACCACTTTTGCCTTTATAATTCTTTGCCGGGGGGAAAAGATTATTTCACAACAGCCTTGGATACTTTTCTAATCACAGCTAAAATAATGCCATCGCGGTTATGAGGGAGTCTCTTCAGAGATCAGCAACAGCCTTTTAGGAGTATTTGCTAGCCCCCTGCTGCCTGTGGGAAACACCTTTCCCATCGCTGTCCTTAACTTGAGCCTCGGTCTCCTCATCCAGAAAATGGGACAATAACACCTACGTCAGCAATGAGAATGATGGGTAACAATTTCGTCAGCTCTCCAAACCAGTGGTTCTCATGCCTGGCTGCCTGGCCCTGGCACCTCTGCCCGACCCCTCCAGATTCGGTTGGGCTGGCAGGTCCCAGACGTGGCTGTTTTCTCAAGTTCCCCAGGCAAGTCCAAAGGACAGCATGGGTGGAGAATCACGGCTATAAGCGATAATGCCCTACCCTGTATTTCCTTTTCCCCCACCAAAACATAGCAACACTCAAGAGAGAGCTTTCCACTTAGCAGATGATCAATATGTTTTTAATTAAAATTGAAACGTGTGCCTGGCACCACGCCTGGCACGGGGATGCTCACTCCATGTCAGTTGAAGGAACGGATGAAACACCTCTCTTTTTGTGCGATCAGGTTCCTGCCTCCCCCATGGTGACCACTGGAGGGCGCCCTTGCCTAGCTGGCTCTGGCCCTGGAAGCCCTGTTAGCCGGTCGGAATCCATAGGGACCCTGGAGCTGACACTGGATGTCTCCCTCATCTCCTTGACCCTGACCAGCAGCTGTAGGGCCATGAGAGGGAGTTGGAAGACGCAGTGGCAGCTGAAGTCCTCCCGCTCTTTTCCCTGAACCGCAGGTTTCTCGTCAGTGTCCCAAAAGTCCCACCAGGACCCGCTGACAGTGCTGTACCAGACCCTTTCCCCTCCCAGGTGCCCCAGGACATCCACAGAGACACTTCATAAGAAGGTGCTCCTGGGGGCACCTGGGTGGCTCAGTTGGTTAAGCGACTGCCTTCGGCTCAGGTCATGATCCTGGAGTTCCGGGATTGAGTCCTACATCGGGCTCCCTGTCAACAGGGAGTCTGCTTCTCCCTCTGACCCTCCCCCCTCTCGTGCTCTCTCTCTCAAATAAATAAAATCTTTAAAAAAAAAAAAAAAAAGAAGGTGCTCCTGGCCGCACCCCAGTGCTAAGACAAGTAGACCCCAGGCATAAGCCAGGGTCTCTTCCACTGGGTCTCGGCCATGAAAATGTCCCCAGCCAGCCAGGCGCATCTCAGGCAGGCTGCAGTGGGCACTGACCGACTGACCCCATGCTTGGACAAAGAGCCCCAGGATTGACCCCTGCAAGGATGGGGTCCAACCCAGTCACCCAACAAACCATTTCTGATGCCAGCACTAAGCCTAATCTGATTCCTGCGTCCAGAAATTCCTAGTCAAATAAAAATGAAGGAAACACGTAACTTTAACACAAAATGGCAAGTCCTAATATCTGTGTCAAGACCGCAGAGCTCAGAGAAGCGTTTACAGAGAAGGGAGCGTTTGAGCTGGGTCTTGAGGCATGGGTAGGAGTTTGCCTGAGCTGAGGAGGATGGAAGGGTATTACATAGAAGGGAAAGCCCACGCGAAGTCACAGAGGCATTCCTGAGGGACAGTTCAGTAGGGTTTCATCATCTACATTTTACAGAGGAGGACGCTGAAGCTCAAGGCCTCTCTTGTCCAAGGTCACACAGCTCTAAAAGGCCAGGCTGGGACTGAAATCTGGGTCTTCTCATTTTGAATCCTGTGGCTTTTCCATGACTCACCATCACCTCTCCAGTGCAGGTCAGTTTCTGAGGGGTGGAGGCTTACCTGTTAGGGCAGTGGTTTCTGTTGGGCTTAAAGGGAGGTCCAAGGGGTAGGGGGTGCACAGAAGACGCGTTGACTGCAGCAGAGCCCATGGTCTTGAGGCCACCAGCAGAGAGACAGCCAAAACAGAGCTGGGAAGATGGGTGGGGGTTCCAGGGACGGAATGCGACGGCCTTCTCATCTGGGATCACCACGGCAACAGGAGCATCACAGAGGGCCTGCTACTGTGCCCTTCCAGGCCCTGCCTCAGCTGGGCAGGAAGAAGACGACCCAGCTTGGCTGGGGGCGGTGGGCAGGGGGCCCTCGGGTGGGCCAACCAGCCCTGGATGCTGCCTCCAGGCTCTAGGTAGGGTACCTGCCAGCCCTCACCCCCCTCTTGGGCCAATCACAGAAAGAACAAGGCAGAAGCCAAGAGAGAAAAGGAGGGGGCTTGGCATATCTGGTCAAGGGAGGGGAGGGACACTGCCAGCCTGGGGCCTGGAAGCAGCATAGACAACAGCACCTCTCCACTGGGGTCAGCAGCCCTGATCCCTAAGAGGCTGGATAGAATCAACATCCCAAGAGATGAACACATAAGCTCTGGCTCCTGCAGAAAGACAACAGGGACTGGGAGGGGCTGGGACACACTGGATCCAGCTTCACCAAGCCCTCTCCTGCCAATGACAATGGAATAGCATGGAATAGTCCAGAGCCGGCCCAACCAGAGACCAAAAGGCAAGAGGATTCACCACAGCCTTGGGGAGAACACTGGGATCTCCGAGCTGCCCTGTCCCCATGGACTCCGCCCCACTGAGGCCAGCCAGGTGAGGCACAGACCCCATCCACAATCCCCCTCCTCTACGAGCTCCTAACTGGGGCTAATGGGCAGTTGAGGAGGAGGAGCATCTCAGGCCAGGCTTCTCCTGGAGAACTGCACTGGGTGTAAGAAGGCCTAGGTGCCTTTACTACAAGTCTGTAACCTTGGGCTTCCTCATCTGTGGAATGGGTAGCTTAGCAGCTTGACACACTGTGAGAGACTATGCAGACGGTTGCTCACCCCGCTGCTCATCTTGCAGACAAAGATACCGGGGCATAGAGAAAGAAATGGACTTAACCTCAAGTCACAAAGAATTAGGGTCAGAGCTGGAAGGTGTACGTAGGTCCGCTGTCTAGGTCAGAGCATGTGACTCTTCACTGTTCCAGAATGTTCCTGCTGTTCAACCCCACAAGCACGTGTTGATGCCTGCTGTGCTCAGCACCATGCTGGGCATCATGGGAGGGAAAGAGAAGAAACAATGGTTTCCCCAATATCTTGAGCATTTATGGGGTGCCAGGCTCTGAGCGCTTTTTAGATGGGATTTCATCTCGTCATCAGAACTGGGGAATAGGAGGTGTTATCTACCTTTACAAGTAGGTGTTAAGGCCCAGA